TGCTCTGCTGCAGAGTGGAGTGGGGGGGAGAAACGGGGGGAAGGGCGGGGGGGCAGAACTGTAGAATCCGGGGATCTGGTTCATGCAGGCTTCCCAGGCATCTATCCACCCCATGTGAGCCTGGGGACATGACAGTCCGGGCTGCAGTCTACTTCATGTTCAAAGGTGCAGGTTGTTGTGAGAATTAATAACAAAATGTCAGTGACCTTGTTCATGGCAGAAGTAAGGACATTGTGTGCCTTGTTTCCTTTGGTGTCTCTGCAAGCTGTTTCCTCTGTAAAAGGAGGTAGACAACTAGCCAGATATGCAGGGGTGTAAGAGGACTCAGGTGGCCTGTCCAGTGGGAAGCCATGGAGCCCTGGCTAAGGCCTGAGGACAATGGGACTCTGGTCCTACCCCCAGCCCACAGAAGCCCACGCAGAGAGAGGTTCTGGAGGGGCAGGGATAAGGGAGCCATGAGCCACCACCATGGGGATGCCCTTGACCGGCTCAACCCTGGCCCAAAGTGGCCATGTCCAGTTTTTGAGGTTGAGGAGTGTCACTGGGCTCAAGAGACATGCTGTGGAGAAGAAGGAGGTAGCAGCAGCCTGAGGGAGGAGGGAGCTCCTGTTGCGGGGAGGAAGTCTATTTATTTTTTAATCTGGTTTCAAGGTTTGTGCAGGATTCACCCCAGGGAAGGAGTAAGAACAGAGGACAGAAGCTCCTCTAAGCCATCTGTCCCTGTCTCCAGGGACACCCTGGCACACTTACAATTTCATAGAGGATTTTGCTTGGGAGAAAATGTTTTCTTATAGAGTTAGAAAGAGAGAGGGAGGGAGGGAGAAAGAGAGAGAAGGAATCATCCAGGGGCAAGTTAATTCTAAGCTGTCTTTCTAAGGCAGGTGACAATGACCTATTGTGACCTGTCAGCTAAGGTCCCTTTGACTGGGGAAAGTCCTTATGAGCTGGGAGAAATACCAGTGTTACACTGTTACCCTCCTGACATGGTCCAGAGTATCAGGAAAACCCTAATAATGAAATACTGTCCAAACTGAACAGTGACAGGAAGTCACACTGCTCACCAGACAAAAACCAAGAAACTCACCTAGCCCTAAATCTGTAGCTGTCCACCTATAGACATAGCTCATAAAAGCGCTGAGATCTTGGAAGGCAAACACACAAACATGTGCAATTTTTACTAAATAATTTAGGTTCTGGGGTGTGTATTTGTACGTGTATGTGTGTGTGTTATGTATGTTGTGTGTGTATTATGTATGTTGTGTGTATTGTGTATGTTGTGTATGTATTATGTATGGTGTGTGTATTGTGTGTTATGTATGTTGTCTGTATTATGTATGTTGTGTGTATTATGTATGTTGTATGTATATATATATATATATATAGTGTGTGTGTGTGTGTGTGTGTGTGTGTATGTGTGTGTGTGTTTGTCCCACATCCTCAACACCACCTACACTTTCCTGGAGTCTACTTTTTTTTTTTTTTAATGGCAGTACTGGGCTTTGAACTCAGGGCCTTATGCTTACTAGGCAGGTGCTCTGCCACTTGAGCCACATCCCCAGCTCTTTCGCTTAGTTATTTTTTAGATAGGGGTTGACATTTTCCTCCAGAGCTGGTCTCTCCGACCTCACTCCTACCTCTGCCTCCCAAGTAGCTGATAGTATAGGCATGTATCTCCACACCTGGCCTTCCTGGGATCTACTCCTTTGGATCCAGATTAGGGGGTTCATTTTTGCAGTGTGACTTGGGTCCACACCAGCCATATTGGATTGGTCCAGGGATGGCCCCTGACCCAAGTCAGACCAACCAGAGCCTCCTCCTCAGGAGTGTGGAACCAGGCTCAGGAGATCCTGATCTGTTAGCAGAGGCAACTTTTTTTTTCCAAGGCAGGGTCTGGCAGGATGCTGCAGAGAAAGGAGAGTCACAGGAATGCAGAGAGCTAGGAGAAGAGGCTGGAGGACCCTGCATCCTTCTAGCACCCCAGTCTGGTCCCTAGACCACCACACCCTGCTTTGGGACTCTTTGCAGCTCCAGTGTGGCTTTTTGTCCCAACTTCCTCTTCTCTTAAAAAGCCAGCTAGAACTGGTTGCTTGCAAAAGACCTAAATCATGTGTAATTGACAGAATTGCTTTGCTATAGGAAATCTAGCCAATGCATGAAGACTCTGGAAAGTGAAATAAACACGTCCTATAATGTATGATATATCACAACCCAAGGAGGGCGGCTAGGGCTTGATTTCCACCTGGAAACGTGGATGGGTAATTCCCCATGACACTTGAGGGGACTCAGGGACTTGCTGCAAATTCTCCAAAATGGCCCATTTTATCCCTAGGGGCCCGAGACAATCCGTCTTCACAATGCTGTCCCACCCTGATACCATCTTCCCAAACCTCTTGCTTGCTGCAAAGTCTCAACTGAGCAGCAAGCAGACTCCGACTCCTGCCCTGATCTGACCCCAGTCACCTTCCTTTCCATCTTTCAAGCTCCAGCCACATGGCCAGTCAGCACAGTCTGTCTCCTCCCCGTCTTCCCACCTTCCCTGCCCCACCTGACCTGCTAGGGATCTTTTCTCTGGGGATCGACCCCCTACGTGTATCTGTGGGCAGCCTTTCCTCTTGCCATCTGTTCAGAACAGACGACGAGGAGGGCAGGCCTACCCCACCTCCTCTTGGCACCTTCCCAGGGCTGAGCGCCCTGCCTGGCACCAAGCCAGGGTTTCGCAAACTCTGCTTGAACTGAAACCCACTGTGGTTGTAGGTTCCAGAGTTGCTCTTTTTTTCTTGTTCCCACGCTGAGCTCCCACTCACAAAGTGGGGACCAGGCCTGAGTCCAGTTGAGTTTTCCTTGCAGGGTCCTACCATGGTGGGGGGGGGGTGCCCTTCCTGTCCCTCTTGCCAGAGCTTCATAGCCTGCTCTGGGCATCTGAGCTACATAGAGTGCTCAACCCTGCTCTGCTTGGTGGTCAGAAAGGACTTCCTATACCTGCTTCAAAAACAAGCAGCCTTGTCCCCATCTGAGCTGTACCTAGGCCTGCCAGTGGCTCCTCCCTCTTCCCTCCTTCTATGGGCAGCTTTCAGGAGACACATGAACTTGGCAGGCTGTAGGCCTCAGATCAGTTACTAGCCCAGGATCTGGAGGAAAAACCCAAACTAGTAGCAGCCAAAGAATTTTAGTACTGAGAAGGGGGTAGGGATGAGGGGCAGGCATTGGGGTTACTTTAAGGTCCTGAGCTTTGTGCTGAGAATGTGGGTCTCTCTTTCTCTCTCACTCTCTCTCTCTCACACACACATACCATGTGCGCATACCTACAAGGAGTGGTAGCATCTTTAGGGAGCCTATATGAGGGCCCCAGGCCTCCAGTAGGCTGCCATCCCTCTGGCCTGGACTGAGCACTGAGTAGTGGGTATGAGGAGTCAGGAAGGACAGTTCTGAGGGTGCCTTGTGTGTGACATGCAGGAACAGGGAGTGTCAAAGGGGCGCAGAGAACATATGTGTAAGAAAGCAACTTCAAGGGCCAGGTATGTGGTGTATGCCTATAATCTCAGTTACATGGAAGGCAGAAGTAGGAAGATCAAGATCTGAGACAAAAACGTGAGACCTATCTAAAAAATAACCTAAAGCCAAAAGGACTGGAAGGTGTGGTTCAAGTGGTAGAGCACCTACCTGTCTAGCAAGTACACAAGGCCCTGAGTTCAAACTCTAGTACAGCTAAAAAAGAAAAACAAAAAAAGTACCTTTGTAATTGGCTGGTTACAAAGTAACTGGTTGAGCCCAGCCAGACTTCCCCTAGCCCTGGCCTTGTCCTTGAGGCTTCAGGGATGGGGGGGAGCTGGAGGATCCCTCCCTTAATGTGTGTACTGCAGGAGCTTCCAGGGCCCACTGGGCAGTGGCTGGGACGTATCTGGCTGCAAGGGAGCAGAGACCCATTGTCACCAAGGCTTTCGATCATTGTGGGTTGGGCTCAGCTACCTTGGACGTCCTCTGGGCCTTCCTCGTGGTGATAGCCACCCGCATTGGGACCTTCCCTCAAGTAATAAGAAGGGCAAGTTGCCTGGCCAGTACATCATCCTCCAGGAAAGCAACAAATTCCTTAGCTGACCATGGTTTAGGGTCACAGGCCACCCAAACTGTGCAGGAGGCTGGGAATGTGGAGATCAGTGCTGTGGCCGAAGCCAGGGTTGATCAGGGCCTGATCTGAGGCAGGAGGAGTGGGGCCCTGGAGACACTGTGGGAGGGCAGTTTGTCAGGGGTGACAGCATCAGCGAGCCCAGGAGAGGGCCCTGAGCCCCAAGATTCCAGCCCTAGTCTACAGCTCCTGCTCACCCCATGGTGACTTCCCTAAATGGATAAACAAGCCATGAGCACATGGCACCTGCCAGGGACTCCCTGGGTGGCCCTCAGAAGAGGCACAAGGTCATCTAGGGCCATGGGGTGGGAGAAAGAGAGCTGAGAAAAGGAACTGGGCAGTGCTGACTTCCAGGAAGGCGGGAAATCGTGAGGCCTCAGCCTAGGCCAGTCCAGACGATTGGAGAGGGGGTGCCAGCCAGCAGAGCCCGGGCCTTCCCCGTTCCAGATGCCAGGGCCGTGCAATGGTGATAAATGTGGCACCTGTCCTGGGGACAGTGCCCAGGGTTAGACATTCACTGTGTCCTAATCTTACTGGAACATTCCTCTGCCAGCCTTGCTGGGGGAAGTGGGGAGGGGGAGTGTTACTGCTGCCTTAGTCTGTGACTCAGACAGAGCCAGGGAATGCACAGGCTGGGGAGCACCAGTGCTTGCCCAGAGCCTCCCCAGCTCCTGAACCAATTTTGAGACTGTGGAAGGAGACTGGCCCTGTCCTTGGTCATTATGCAGAAACGAAACGTTGCCTAACCAGGGTAGAAACCACAAGAAGAGAAAAACACACAATGTTACTGCAGCTGGGCCTAAGAGTCCAGCCTCCTTCTCACTGTCTGTGGGGTGGAGGTGGGGGGATGGGCTGTGGTATTTGTTTTAAAGGAAATTAAAAAAAAAAAAAAACCTTTGCTGGTGCAGGACCATTTTTATCTCCCCAAAAGACCCACCTTTGCCAGAGGAAGTATAGCATTTGTTTAGGGACAATGGGGCCTGGGCTCTTTGTCATTTGGCTCTGTTCTACGGCCAACCCTGCCTGAGCTGTTCGCACACCTGTGCTGGGGCCCCACCTGTCCCCAGGGCTGGGGGCAGAGGAGTACTGTTCCTGTCCTGGGCGTGGGACACCACTGTGTTACCACAAGGCTCTCTAGATGTGTCTCACGAGGCTGTTGCTACTGTTACTGAGCAGGTCTCAGAGCAGAACCAGGCCGTGCAGACATGCCAAGGCAGGTGGGGGGCTGAGGGAGGGTCACTGTAAAGGTGGCACCTCGGACTTCGGAGGTCTAGAAAGAAGCTGTTTTCATTCCAGCAGAAGTGCACACGGTGAGCCAGACATGGTGCATACCTGTAATCCCAGGAGGCAGAAGCATCTAGAGTTTGAGCCAGCTTGGACACCTAGAAGGAAGGAACAAGGGAGGGAGGGAGGGAGGGAAGAAATAGAGAGTAAGCGCATGTTTTGTGTTTGCAGTTTGGGATGGGGCCTACCATTCTTCATCCTTGGAGATGCACGTAATCGTGTCATGGACTCGGGTGGGCAGGTGCAGGATAGAAGCCGGAGACTCACCTTTGGTTCTCCTCTTTCCAAGCAGCATCTGGGCAGTCCCCCCTCACTGGTGCCCCTGCCCCAGACTCTGACCCACTTTTTCACTGAGTCCACTCCTCAATAGTTTTTCTCTCAACAAAAAACTATCAACTGGGGGGCTGGGGCTGTCAGTCAAGGGAAAGTGCTTGCCTAGCATGCATGAGACCCTGGGTTCCATCCCTGGCAACACACATGCACATACAGAGGTTGAATGGTCAAAGTGCCAGGGTCCTGGCGCCTCCCTGGGCTTCCCTAAGGAGGCATGGGGACAGGTCACCTCCCAAGGGTGTTCACACCTCAACCCCTTTGGTTCTGTGACTATCGCCAGGGACCAAAAAGGCATTATTTTATATGTCAGTAATCCTTGGAGACATGCCTCAAAGATGGAAAGGGGCACAGACAAGGGAGGTGGCTCAGGCCTCCCCAGAACACGTGCAGGTAACAATGACGTGGTTCCCTCCAGTACAGTCCTCTTGCCACAGTCAAACATAAACAAAGTCGAACTCCAGTGAAAACAGCAAGGACAGACCATTCAGTAACAGCTATGACAAGTGAACTCAGCTCAACTTCCCCAAAACAAAGGCTCAGTACAGCCAGGGGTGGGCTCCGGGAAAGACCCCATGGGCTGTTATGGGGGGATTGGTTTCTGAAAGTGGGCCCTTTGGATGTGCTAATTGGTGCTTATCTGGAAAAGAAACAGGCTTCTCTATCTTCTTTCATTTTTAATTAACATGTAATAATTGTGTGCTATTTCCATACCTGTATACAATGTCCAGTGATCAAATCAGGTATATCCACCACCTCAAACATTCACAGTAGCCAAGACCTGCAATCAACCTAGGTATTCAAAGAGAGATAAATACACAAAGAAAATGTAGTCATTCACTCTGTGGAATAGTATTGAGTCATGAAAATGAAGGAAATCTTGTCATTTAGGCAACATGGACAGAACTGGAAATCATTATATTAGGTGAAATAAGCCAGAAAGAAAGACAAATACTACATGTTTTCACTCATATGTAAAATATTTAAAAAAAAAAAAGTCAATCTCATAGAAATAGAATAGAATGGTGGTTACCAGAGGCTGGGAAGGGGATATGAGAGGGAAGACTAGGGAAATAGTAACGAGATATAAGTTCTACTGTTCTGGTGTACAGTAGGGTGACTATAGTATATTAGTCAGCTTTCTGTAACTGTGGCAAAGTACCTGAGATAAACAACTTATAAAGAGGAAAGGTTTGTTTTGGCTCACATTTCTGAGGCTTCAGTCCATGGTCACTTGGCCAAACTTCTTTGAAGTTTCTGGTAATGCAAACATCATGGTTGGGAGCATGTGGCAGAAGTCTGTTTGCCTCATGGCAGCTGGGAAGCAAAGAGAGAGAGGAAGGGACTGGGGTCCCACTTTCTTTTTCAAGGGCACACCCCCAATGACTTCACTTCCTTCCTCTAACCTCTTAGAGTTCCCACCTTCTCCCAATAATACCATAGGTTGGGGACAAAGCCTTCAACATAAGCCTCTGGGGACATTTAAGATCCAAACAAAAATGTTTACAATTTATTACATATCTCTTGGTTCCGTTGCCAGGAGGCTGTGGTGCAGGTCAGAGCAAGGGACCCAGGCCAGTCGGGCCCTTCCCTCCACAAGGTCTGGGGCAAGAACTAGAGCAACTTCCTGGATGTTTGCATTTCAAAGAGAGGCTTCTAGGTCCCTGTGGAGACAGTTCTGGGTGGTGGAAGCTCTCCATCTTCAAAGGGCAGAGCATGGACTAACAATTGCTCTGCTCCCAGAGCATTCAAGGGTCTATCTGCCTAGCACTTAACAGCTACTGGCTTCATCATCCGAAGGATATGGCCTTGAGCTGCTAGCAATTATGCAAGTATTTTTCACATCTTTTAGTGTGTGGGTAGGGGGAGAAGCAGACAAAATCACTTGTGCTGAGAGTCTGAGTGTATGCAAACCAAGGTCAAAGCCTAGTTGAGCAGAGCACTCAGGGGAGCCCAAGTGGTTGAATTAAGGAAAGATTTTTCCCATCTCCTGCTGCTGTTGTACCTGGAGGCTCCTTCACTTCAGGGGATCTGCTCAGCTTGTCACTATCTGCCTAACGCTATTCCTGTCTAACGCTGTGGGAATGCACAGGAGTCCATGGTGGTCATGGGAGAGCTCAGACAACACTTACCCAGGTACATGTAATATAGATGGGTCTCCAAAGAATGATGTCACAAGCCACGTGGCTCCAGGGCACATAGACCCATCCGTCCACTGCCTACTGTGCTTCAAGGAAGCCCAAGTTAATCACATAGAGAGGTGATGTGGAGGACCACCAAAGCACAGAACAGTGAAGGAAACTTCTTGGACCTTCCAATCTAACGCAGCTACCCACTATATATGGTAACAATTATGACCCCAGTCAATGCCACGTGACTGTAGTGGCCCACAGAGTCATAAGAAATAATACATCATTATTTGAAGAGATGGGCTGTGCAACAGAAGTACAGAGGTCAGCCAGATAGGGTCCTCTGAGGTCTGAGGAGTGTGAGAAAGATGTCCTGTTACCATGTCACCTTCTAGAGAATGTTGTCATTGATGATGATGGTGTAGAGCTACCCTGTGATTTTGTTGCTTGGATATTTTCATCAGAAATACACTGAAGAGGATCTGGGGAAACACAAGGAGAGTGAGCAGGGGAACAGAAGTGGAGTTCCTTTGATCCTAGGAGCAGAACTAGGATAATAGCAGCTCACCCCACATTCAGACATGAACCCAAAAGTTCTTCATTACTGGAGTACACTGTAACTTCAATGTATTTGTTAAAAGATCATGCATTAACATCTGAATCCTTTAACACAGGAGTGTGGGAAGGGTTCAGGTCACAGAGGCAGGCCCTCGTGAAAGGATGAATGCCTTTCTCAAAGGAGTTGGTTAAGTATGGCAGGAGCTCAGGCCCAGTTTCTCTCATGCACATTTCTCCTCTTTCAACTTCTGCCATCTTAGGAAGCTGCACAAGGTCCTCACCACAAGCAGCCACCTTACTTGGGACTTCCCAACCTCCAAGACTGCGAACCTAAATGACCTCTTTTCTTTATCATGCACTCTGTCTCAGATGTTACTTAGGAAATGAACTCATGACTTAGCCAAGTTCAGGTTGACAGTTCAATGCAGGAACAAAAGCTAGCCCCAGATGTCACACAGTGGACAGGGTGTCTAAGGCAGTCCCCTGGGCTGAGCTGGTACAGACACTCAGGTAAGTCCTAGAACAGTAGAAAGCAAAAAGGATCTAGATTGGGGCTGGACACTTCACATTCTGTGACCATATGGGCCAAAGACTGGGCATGGTCCCCCTAGTAATGGTCTCTTCTGTGTGCCTGGCTCTGGCATCTGTTGTGGCCAAGAGGTGAAAGAACCTCTCTGGATACCTTCCCTGCCCTCCTCTTGGCTCCCTTTACTTTTGCCATGTTGTGGCCTTTGGCTCCCAGTGAGGGGTGGTGGACCACAGCCCATCCATTTCTGCTTCCCCAGCCCAGTGTCTTGGCAACAACTGACAAATGCTGGCACAATGACCTCCTAGGTTGCAAAGCTTGATTGGGAGGATGGCCTTGGACAGAGGGACACAAGGGATTCCTCAGGTGACCTGGAGACCGCAGGGAGGCTCTGAGTGGCCCAAGTTTTCAATCTCAGCCTTACCTTTTTTGGTTTTGCCTTCAGAAACCTCAAGGGTAAAATAAAACTAATAACATGATTGATTCACATGAAGAATGAAATGGCATATGGCCCTGGTGGGGACTTCATCAGTGGTAGATATGGCCTGAAAGTCTGTGTCAGTGATTCCTATAGTGTTGGTAGTAGCCTGGCATGAACAGAAGTTCTGAACCCACTGGGCCATGGGGTGTGGGAACAGGTGGGCTTCCCAATGTAAAGCCCAGCCTTCCCACAGTGGGGGGGAGGGTGGAGTGAACCGTGTCCTCCTTATTTCAGGAACCGCAGGTGATTGGCTTGGCAGAGGCCTGGTTGACCCAGATGGTGGGAAACCTGGCTCCTAGGCTGAGAAGTTTGGACTTGGAGTTTGTAGTGGAAGCCTTCAGGAAGCCTGTACGGGAAGGCTGGCCTGTCACTGGAAATTAAAAGAAAAAAATTAAACCACAATGCTTGGGAAGAAGAACTCTTGTAGAGTCCTGGACAAAATCCAGGATCCAGGCAGGTAAGGCTGGGCTCAGGCGTGGGCAGGTGGAATCCCATACATCCTGCTCTCAGAAACGCCACCCTCCTTGGCCCTTGACTCCCACCTTACTAGGGTGGTTTCAAAGAAACCCCAAGGCCTCCACTACATCCTGCCCCTGCAGGTGGAGGAGTTCAGTGCCACATGCCCAAGCGCCAGGTGGAGCCTCACCTTGGCTAGGAGCCTGCACAGGGGGAGCAGCCGGCCATGCTGCTCTACCCTAAGGAGTGGAGAATATTTTGGGTTCAGAACCGGTCTGGATGGATTCTGTTTCCAGAGAAGCTTCTGCCAGCAGCCCTGGGAGCTCCATCTGCTCTGGGGAACACACAGGCTTCATCACATAGTCCTCCAACAAGAGTGCTTTGCTGCTCTACGGAAGCCTGCAGGGGCTGAGCCATATCTGACCATGTCCTCTGCCAGGCTTGGAGGCCACAATCCTGCATGGAGCCTGGACCGTTCTGCTCAGATAAAATCCTACCTCCCATGCTGCAGCTGGTACTAAGCAGAGAACTTGACCTTTCTTACCCAGTTTCACTTTCACAAAACCATGGGGCAGAGGTGGGGGAGGGGCAATTTTAATCCCATTTTATAAATCCAGAGCTTTGGTTTACATAAATTACATAACCCTCCCAGCAGATGAGGCTAGCAAGCAGTGGGATCATCCCCCACCCCCTCCCCCAGGCCTCATGAGGTGGATAGGGCTGCTGCCATCCTGAGTTTCCATAGGGCCAGAAACTGCCCTCTCAGGTCTGCCTGAATCCAAATTATCTTGGAGGAGAAGTAAGCAAAGGTGATCCTCACAACACAGTGTCAAGGCTGGAAGAGGTCTGTCCGCCAGCAGGTCCATCAAAGCTGGGGCCTATGTGGGATGCCCACCTCTGTTGCGTGTACCCGCTGTAGTTGGGCTGCAGTTCTGTCTTTGTGCAGACAGACTCCAGGGCTCTGCTGCTATCCCCCAGCCTCCCCACCAAAGACCCTCTTTTGCCCCCAGGGCTATTAGAGTCAGGGGTGCTTCTTGATGGAGACCTTGGATGTATAGGACCTCTCTCTTCAAGGCCTTTTCCTCCTTAAACACAAAGCCTGATCTTTCCAGGGGGTGCCCAGGTTGTGCAGGGTATGGCTTAAATGTGAGGGAACAGTGTTGAGCAGACGTAATTAGTCAGGAAAGTTCTGTGCTCATTAATTGGATTAATACCATTATGTAGGGAGGGGACTAGTTGTTGTGGGAGCAGGTTCCTGATAAAAGGATGACTTTGGCCTCCTTTGCCCCTTCCTCTACACCCCTCTGCTCCCTCTCTTGACCTTCTGCCTCCTGCCACAGGATGATACAGCAAGAAGGGCCTCACTAAATGCAGCCCTTTGACCCTGGACTTCCCAGCCTCCAGGACATGACCCACTCTGAGAAAAAGGAATGCCTTTAGCCTTCAGAAACTTTAGGGTAAATAATACTTACACCAGTGCATAGAAAGGCCAAAGCTGATCTTAAGAAAAATGCCCCTCTTCATTTCTACAGTGTTGATTAAAAAACAACCAACAGGTGGGTTTCATGGGCAAAGGCTGTTTCGGTACCTGGAGTCCTCCACTTACAGGGCTGCTGGTAAGGGTTTGGGACCTGCCTGGGGTCCTCCCCTGCCAGGTTTCTCTTGGCTCCTGGTGCCTGTGAGGCCCCAGAAGACACTAACCCAGCCCTGAACATGTCAGACCTGTTAGGAGTTCAGGCCCTTTCCAGTGCCCCATGGGTCACGCCTGTAAGAGTGGGATTGATTCTAAATCCTTCATCTGGGCTGCCAGCCAAAGGCCTGGCAGGAAGCAGGTGGGCGAATTTGGGAGGGGCACATCAAGGGTGACTGTGGTGGGATGCAGAAGATATGAAGCTTCCAGGGCTGCTGCAGCTGAGTGTCTCTGTGTGTGTGTGTGTGTGTGTGTGTGTGTGTGTGTGTGTGTGTGTGTGTGTGGTGTGAAGCCTGGGAGACAAGGCATCTGTAGGTAGAATCCAATGTACACAAATCCTCTGTTCATGGAATGATCAAACAGTACAGCCCCCTTTTGGATTGTCTATAAGACACAAATGCAAATGCATTTGTCCCTGATTCTTGTAGGAATCGAAAGAAGAGCATTCCCAGAGGGATGGCTACAAGCCATGCCCCTAAC